TTGTACTCGATAAGACCTTTGGCTGACAAAAGACAATTTTCAATTTTCACCAATGCAAATATACCTCTAAAGTAAAATAAAATTTGAGTAAGTTTTCAATCCTCTTATAATCCTAAAGATGGAAATAATGCACGTTCCCTTTCTTAAAAAGAAAAAAAAGACACACACACACACACACAAACACATTCAAATATATCTCCATTTACAAGACGACTGTTTTTCTTTAATAAAAACTTTTATTGGTGTTCAAGCTTGTATCCTATTTCCCACAACCTGTTAACTGTATATAATTTACTTGGCAGACCAAGTCGAATGCATAAACGTTCGAAAATCACATTAGAAGGGAAAAATATTGTTCAATCGGGAACTGAAATATTCACGAAGCATGTCTCGAAGACCGAACCTCCACGCGCTTTTTCTCCCCATAGTGTATACGATAACCACACGTTCGTTTCCCCTATTCCTTGAGTTCCTGCCTTTGAAAAAATCCATTTCGAAACATATGATTATCGTCAACCATATCGGTCACAGCTAAAAATACTTTGAGAATACGTCCATCGAATCAAATCAAATCGACATTATTTTCCGATTTAATGACGCAGGCGCGTTCAGTTCAACAAAACTTTCCAAACCGCTCGACCAATCATCGATGAAGCTTGCGGCCAGTATCAGTGACTCGGCGACACTCGATGCTCGACGATGAATACGGGAGAACGTGACGAGAAACCGTGCAACGCGAATTACAGAAACGATCTGCGCTTCAACGTTCGATTGAACGTGTTGACACTGAGGCCGATCGGAAGCTGGCCAAGGTCCTGCGACTACTCCTGGCTCGAAACGATCGAGCACGCGTTTCTAAATGTCCTCGGTTACGCTCTGCTCGCGTTCATTCTCATCCCTGGATTCATATGCTTCGCCCACGAGATCGCGGATTTTTACGATCAGATGAAGCTAGGCAGCGCGCTCAGTTTCTTCTTGATGGCGGTGATGAAGTACTGCGTTTTCGTGGCCCGCGAGGCTGACATACGCAGATGCGTGGACTTGATCGAGGACGACTGGAGGAAGGTGAAACACCACGAGGATCGTAAGATCATGTTGGAGAACGCGAGCTTCAGTCGTCGATTGATCGCAATCTGCGGCGCTTTCATGTACGGAGGGGTGGTTTTCTATTACATCGCCCTGCCGCTCACTCGACCGAAGATCGTGGAAGAGGGTGGCAACTTGACATACACGGGGCTGGTTTACCCTTTTCCACGAATACTCGCCGACGCGCGTCGCAGCCCCGTCAATGAAATTTTATACACGGTTCAGTTGCTGTCTGGATTTATCGCTCACAATATCACGGTCGCCGCTTGCGGCCTGGCTGCCCTTCTCGCGATGCACGCATGCGGCCAGTTACAGGTTTTAATGGCTTGGCTGGAGAAACTGGTGGATGGGCGGGAAAACGATGTCGAGAACCTGGATCAGAGGTTGGCCAACATTGTGGAGCAACACGTTCGGATAATCAAGTAAGATGAAACATGTTCTTGTCTCTGGTATTAAGAAATACATGAATATTGAAATATACGTTAATATATGAATATGTGTTATATATTAGGTTGTAAAATAAATTTCAATATCATTTTAAATGACAGAACACTTTCATATTAAAAGACTATGTTATTTAATTGTTATACAACCAATGTAATCATGATGGTAAGAAATGAAAATTGAAATACGAGTATATTCTATATTAAGTTGTAAAGTAAATTTCAATGTTTCATTTCAAATATCCATATACGTGGGAATTTAGTTTACAATCTTGACGGACGCTACAAAAAATTTTTACGTATGTTATTTTACACAACTGAGGAAAATTTATTTTATATTTCGATTTGCTCGAGATTTTGCCGATATAATTGATATTATAGTGCTGAGGAAATTTCAAATTGTTTCACGTAACACATGTAATATGTTATAAAAGGTTTCTGCGACGTTCGAATATGTTTGAGATGCATACGTTTGAAGGTAATGACGTACTTATGTAATATTTCAGTTTCATATCTCTCACGGAGGATCTCCTGCACGAGATATCGTTGGTCGAAATCGTAGGATGCACTATAAATATGTGTTTCCTTGGGTACTATTCCATGATGGTACAATTTTATGAAGAAACGCTCGGAAACTACGAATGAAAATTTTAATTCATAATTTCTTCTCTAGGAATGGGACTCTAAGCATCCAGTTAGAAGTTTTACGTACATAATATTGCTCACGTCAGTCACGTTCAACATTTTCATATTCTGTTATATCGGCGAGCTTTTAGCAGAGCAGGTATTTATTCTTCCCTCAATTCACGTTTCACCAAATTTCAATGATTTGTTGAATACATGTATCATTGTGTGTGTGTTACTGCGGACGTTGATACATGTAAAATGTGTAAAAAGCATGTACTATAATATAAATATGACGAAAAAACAGGCAAATATGCATAAAAAAATGTGACATAATAAACTTTAAATTTTGAGCAATTTGTAATATATTCTGAGCTGTGATTGCAATATCTATTATTTGATATCAATGCCGAGAAATACCAATAGGAAATATAGAAATCACATTATTATGTTGGTCTTTCATGACAATTTGATAATTTTATTCATGCACGATCGCAGCCAACACAATATTAGTGAAATATTAATATAAAATGGAAATTTGACACATGCCTTCCATCAAAAACATGTCAAAAATGTCACGTGCATATGAAAATATGCATTTGCTTAAACATCCGCACATATGGTCTCTGACCTGTTAACAATTTGAATTTAGTCAAACGAAATATGTTTTATTAGACAGTAAAAGTCGGCCAAAAGTCTTACATGATCGATTGGCATCGAATACCCTGGAAGAAGAGCCTCGTCGTTCCTTTGATGATTTCGATGTCTCGTTCAACTACCAAGATCACTGCTGGCAATATTATCGAACTTTCCATCAGTAGTTTCGGCAATGTAAGTGTTCCCACGAACGTCTGCAACATTTAGCCTCGCTGTAATCATCGATTCCACTTGTAAATTTTCATGAAACATTGTAGGTCATCAAGACGTCGTTTGCATACTTGAACATATTGCGAACACTCACGATGTAAGGGTTTTCTTTCAGAATGACTTCGAACGATTGAGCGATATCGCGATTTTCGTTATGGGACGTTAGAAGGAGTATAGAGACATAAATATATCACATGCAGATGTATCTGCCTTTTATGTGAGAACACGTTTTGTTGTTAACAATACCATTCGATCTGTCATTTTCTAACCTATTATCGATATTTTCTTTTTCCTTCTTTTAATTTAACGGAGAAAGTTTTACATTGCAACGTGAGAACGTCAGTTTGTTAAAAGTCTTTTCGAAAAAGACAGAGACAATCTTTGAAGAGAAGCATCAGAGCTGGTGAATATATCTGATAGTACTGTTGGATCGACATGATATCGCCTCTCGATCAAATTTACATAATATCAAAAATTAATCGTTACATTATAGTTTATCAATACTGGCTATTATATCACTCGATTGGTAAGATTTGATTACTGATAAGATGCGTGCAGTTACTCTGAAATTTCGCCGTACTATCGTGAAACTCACAAACGTCGAAAGACAAAAATAGTGTTTTATAATAAAAGCTTCTATCAGTATGTATTTTATCAGTCATGTATTCTATTCTTCTCAACTCTACACATTTACACGCTGTGTTTGAACAAAGTAAGTCGCTTAAACACTAAAAAATCATTATAGAAGGCGGGAATATTTCTTGACCCTATAAATTCATATAAACTCTATACACGTTCCACGTTCATATCCCGCTATAGTACACTTTACTCACCCCATGAAACACGGTAATCATACATTCCCGCTCTTGTTCTTTGAATCTCTCGTCCGACTTTGGAAAAATTCACTTCGAAAGTTATAATTATGATCAACTGCGTAGGGGCGATCACAATTAAAAATACATCAAACAAAGACCGAGAAAAAGGCGGTAGAATCCCCTTTCCATTTTTTCCTCCTCTCGTTTCGAATTCAACAGCGCAAGCGCGCAACAATCATCAAACGACCGGTGGTCAATGAAACTTGTAGCATCAGTGATTCCTTGACACTCGGTATCCGACGATGAACACGGGAAAACTCGAGGTTTGCCACAACGCAAGCTACAAGGACGACTTGAGCTTCAATGTTCGATTGAACATGTTGACGCTGAAGATCATCGGAAGCTGGCCGAGATCTCTGGATCATACCTGGCTCGAAACGATCGAGCACGTGTTCCTGAATCTTCTCGGCCACGGTCTGCTCGCGTTCATCCTGGTCCCGGGTATCATATGCCTCACCATCGAGATCTCGAACATTTACGACAAAATGGAGGTGGCCGCGGCGCTCAGCTTCTTCGTGATGGCCGTGATGAAGTATTTCATTTTCATGATCCGCGAGCCTGACATACGTAAATGCGTGAACCTGATGGAGAACGACTGGAGGAACGTGAAACACCGCGAGGACCGCGAGATCATGCTGGACAACGCGAACTTCAATCGCCGACTTACCGTGATCTGCGGCCTTTTCATGTACGGAGGGGTGGTTTTTTATTACATCGCTCTGCCGCTCACACGACCGAAGATCGTTGAAGAGGGTGGCAACCTGACCTACACGAGACTGGTTTACCCTTTTCCACCGACAATCGCCGACGCGCGTCGCAGGCCAATCAATGAAATTTGCTACGCGATGCAGATACTGTCTGGCTTCATTGCTCACAATGTCACGGTCGCAGCCTGCGGATTGGTCGCCCTCCTCGCGATGCACGCCTGCGGCCAGTTACAGGTTTTAATGGCTTGGCTGGAGAAACTGGTGGATGGAAAGGAGGATGACGTTGAGACTCTGCATCAAAGATTGGCCAACGTCGTGGAGCAACACGTTCGGGTGATCAAGTAAGATGGCACACTTCTGTTTGTTAACAGGGGGATGAAAATTGTGAATTAAATTTCAAGGTAGTGACAACGTTATCTGACAAAATGTTGAAATCTAGATATATTATTACGGAAGTAATCGAACTCTCTTACCACGTAAAATCTTTTAAACGTTTGTTTTTAACACAGTTAGTGTTAATTTCCGATCGTTAGGCTGCGGATTTTTATGAATTTATTCGGCAATTCGAAGATGAAAGAACCGAAAGAAGAAAATGGTCAAAATGTACTCCATTATCTGCATAAATTTCTGATTCGCAAATCACTACTACAGACATTTCCAAAATATCCATTCATCGGCATATTAACGTTCGAATACTTTCGTCTACGCATTCTCGTGAATTTTATTTGTAAAAGAGATGGTGTATTTGTCGTAATATTTCAGCTTCATATCTCTCACAGAAGATGTCCTGAGCGAGATATCGTTGATAGAAGTCGTAGGATGCACTATAAATATATGTTTCCTTGGATATTATTCGATGACGGTATAATTTTACGAAGGAACTTCCGGCAACTGCGAGTCAGAATTTTAATTCGCAGTTTCTTCTCTAGGAATGGGACTCGAAGCATCCTCTTAAAGGTTTCGCGTACATAATACTGCTCACGTCCGTCACGTTCAACATTTTCATATTCTGTTACATCGGCGAGCTCTTGGCGGAGAAGGTACATGCATGGTGTTTGCAAAGTAGCATTTTCAATGATAAGATAATTATAAAAAAAGTGTGACTGTAAAAGAGATAAAATACGATGATGAAATACTTTGCCAGACTGTAAAGATCAGCGAGAAGTCTTACATGATCGATTGGCATCGAATGCCCTGGCAGGACAGCCTCGGCATGGCTTTGATAATTTCGATGTCTCGTTCGACCAACAAGATCACTGCTGGCAAAATTATCGAACTTTCCATCAACAGTTTCGGCAGTGTAAGCGTCTCACGAATATCTGAAATATTTTACTTCGCTGTATAACTGTCAATTCGTTGTAGGTCATCAAGACGTCGTTCGCATACTTGAACATGCTGCGAACACTCACGATGTAAGGATTTTCGATCATAGTGACTGATATCACAGTGACAACATTACAGAAAGTAGTGTAGATACACAAATATGTCACGTATAAATATGTAGATATGTCTGCTTTTTACAGCGAAGAAGAAAAAGGAATAATATTCATTTATCGAAACTCTGACTCTTGTATGTTGATATTTTCGTAGCATCGAAGGAAATTAATTTATCACGTCACACTTTGAATAGTAGAATAGAAAAGTCTTTCTAAGTAGTTCTTGATATTTCCTATTAACAGTTGAGAAAATTTGAAGAATTATTCAATCGTGGAAGGTGTTGTGTTATAAATATTTTAATTGTACGTATAATTTAATAATCAGAAATATGGTATAATTGTCAATGCTTATAACAAAAAGTAAGTAAGTATCAAACAATTATTATTATTATGTCTCATGATTAAATTACGAATCATACTGAAGACACAAATAACGCATACCTGCGTCATGGTCCAGCAAAATCTGTTTCACATTATACCATGAAACGTTACAATTTTCTATATATATATATATATATGCGACGCAGAAAAGACAAAAAATGATCATCTATAAACTGATTTCCTGAAATCGTGCGGCGCCACGTTTCGCTGACGTGTCGAAGGAATCAATTTATCGATGTACCACTGTCAACATTCTCTCCTCGTTCATAATATATAAAACGAGACTCCCTAGAAGGGGTGAACGTAAACGCAGAGAGTAACTTTCGTTTCACCCTTCCCGGGGTAAAATTAGAAAATCAGGCGCAAGCGCGCCGTTTGTTCTCCCTTTGAACCGTCATCAGACCATTCAGTTTCAGACGAACGTTCAGACATCAAGCATGCAAAAGTCAGGCACGAATATCGAGAAATGCGGCACAACAGACTGCGAGAAACATATGAATCTAAGTATCCAGTGGAATCGTTGGCTATTGAAACCGATGGGCCTATGGCCGTGCTCGAATCCCATTTCAAGATTCAGACAGTATCTGTATTGGCTCATAAACATCGTCTGTTACAGTCTGATCAGTTTCCTATTTATACCGTGCAGCTTGTTCGTCGTATTCGAGATCGAGGACACTTATGGTAAACTGAAGCAATTCGGCCCGCTGATATTCTGTGTGATGGCGTTCGTGAAATATTACACACTGATTATACACAAGGCTGACATCAATGAATGCGTGGAACGAATCAAATGGGACTGGAAGAACACGACGAACGACAGTGATCGCGAGATCATGATAATGAACGCGAATTTCGGACGCAAGCTGATCATCGTCTGTACGTTCTTCATGTACAGCGGCTTCGCCTTTTATTACATCGCCATACCAATCAGCGTAGGCAAAATAGCAACGGAGAATGATAATGTTACCTTCATCCCACTGGTGTTCCCTTTCTCGAGACACGTCGCCGACACGCGTTACAGTCCCGCGAACGAGATTGTCTTTTCCATTCAATTGCTGGCTGGTTTCCTGATGCATGGTATAACGTCGGCGGCTTGCAGTTTAGCAGCTTCTTTCGCCGTTCACACTTGCGGCCAAATGCAGGTGTTGATGAACTGGCTGAAGCATCTGATAGACGGCCGAACGGACATGAGCGAACGTTTGGATGATAGAATCGCTGATATCGTGAGACAGCATGTCCGAATCCTGAAGTGTGTATAAACGTTTGTTA